AATTTTTAAACGATTGATTTCTTATCTGACAAAGACCAGACTCTGCAGAGTTTCGAAATGTGACGTACTCAAGAAACATACGTTTCATTGTTCGTCGAGAAGTATTGCATTACTTCACGGTAGCTAATGACAGTCATGTTTCACGTCTTTTGAGACGCTTACAGGATAAAATTTTAGAAAAGAAGAATAACAACGGTTCAGGTCACGTTTCGCGAAAAAAGTCAGTCATTTCGCAATTTCCATGAAGAAAAGGCGCTTCAACGTTCACGGCGAAATAACCAAATCATGTTTAAAACCAGCCACAGGGCCCTTCACGATCACGAAAAAACCCTTTTCCCCTACAAAAATAACAGTAATATTGATTATTAGTAGTGGTACTATTAACATGATTAAATAGGAGCTCTTAACCATTAATTGTTATGTATTATGCACACCCACGACTTTTACCCACACCCACACCTACACCCACGACCCACGACTTGTACCCAGGACCCACGACTATTAGTCAAACTCTAGCAATTCAGCCTATGCTGCTATTAAGGTATCGAATTATTCACTTTCTCACTTTTCTCGAAAAGCTGCAAAACTCTAGAACAAAAACTTATCCGTTCAAATCGGCTCTTAATCCCCACAGTATGAACGGACGCTTTTTATTCAATTAATTCATTCTCGTAACTATGTTCCCACCAAAAGCGTAACTCGGTCCGCGAATCTTGTTAGAGATCTATTTATGAGTGAACATTTATGAGTGAACATTTATGAGTGAACCTTTTATCGAGAAATATGCTATATCAAATTATCTCATGTTAATTGAGAGAAGCGTAGACGCAAATCTCAACCTGTAAAGGCGAATGAAGGCACAAAGAGCAAAGTTTCTTGTCGAAAAAAAGCCCGAGTGAACGCAACTATACGTCTGTTTACTTAGAGATGACGAAAGTTACATGCAAATCTTTTGCAATTTACGACTCCTATACGCAAAACTCTTCTTTCTCACCCCTTCGGAGTGACGGCTAACGAGCCGTGCAGTTCTTCTATAATTCTTAGTGTTGTCAAACGTTTAAAACACTTATTTTACTGGGAGAGTAAGCTGCTGGCAATTGGTTCTCCAAGGAGAACCAACAAACCAGACATTTTTATACTGAGACATTTATATTTACATACCTTAATATGTCTATAGCTAGGTTAATTTCTTGGTCTTCAAAAAGCCTTTTGACAGAAGATTCCCTACTACACTGCCTTTAAAAATCACTTCTTGCGAAATAAATGGTCTTGTCACTTAAGGAGCCATGTGGTCAACGAAGGTTTCTTTCGCTTTCAGTTTCAAGGGAAAATTTGCATTTAACGTAAGCCATCACGGTTATCATGCCCCAGTGGTTGCCATCACAGCGAGCGAAGAGGCCGCGAGAATTGCCTGTTCTCAGTCACACCATCATCAAAACTATTCAACAGATTAAGTCAAGAATTAAAGAGATGAAAGAAGACGAGAAGAAGATGAGTATTTAAACAGTCTCGCAAAGATTCCGTTCTGTGTGATGTTTCGTGCGGGAGATATTCGAAGAAATCATATTTTACTCAAATTGAGAAGGCTCCTTATGGACGCCATTCCCCTCTGAGGGGAACAAATACTACGACCGGAAGCTTACAGAACACCGAATTTTGCTATAAAAAGCCTGTAGTCGTCTTCTCCTTATAAACATCTGCACGAGTATTTATTCTATACAAGAACTGTTCAGATCGCGAAATCTCGACGGGTAAGTAACTTATTTTTACCTACGTGACAGCATTCTCGGCCGCTATTCTAATATCGTGTCACGCAAAAGCTTAGAAATTCAACCTCGCTCTATCACATGACGAATAACCCTATCAATCTAAAAATTTGTGAAAAGATAATTTTTAAGCTGTTCTCATAACTAGCTACATTAAAATCTCAAAAGGATTGATAATTCCTTATTTTTTTTTAACTTTGATGACGTCACGTGAAAGGCAAGACTACTATTGTGCCGGTGCCATTTTAAAAATTTGTTAAAAATTTTTTTTCTCTTTAGCTAGAGAAATCATCTAAATTTAATTTTTTGAGAAAAAAGAGAACAAAATTTTGAAAAGAATGCGAGATGCGACTGAAGGAGTGTTTTAGGGTAGCTGGTACCGAATAGTGAAAGATGTAATAATCGGAAGTCTCTAGCAGTGTGTCGACTTTTTTCACGGACTTTCGTCCGGCATCTCGATTTGCATTCATGTATTTCGTTTACATTGCGTATTGCACCTAACAAAAGAATAGACCTTGTAACGTTTCCCGAAACATTGAGAAATGAGAGTATTCACGAAACAGTCAAAATTCCGCTTTAAATTGTAACTTCTCTGCACAGCATTCAGGCAACAGTCCTAGAAAATAAAGAAATTTATTAGATGGACGGTATTGTATCGATGTAACACTTCATTCTCTAAACTTATTTACAGTGACTTTTGTAACATTTAGAGAAGACTTGGAGATTAGATCTGGCAAGGTAAAGGCCTAATGTTGAGTTAATCCCTTTATTTTGCAGAATAGTAGGATCATTTTAGGTCAAGTTTTTAGCAACAAATCTTTGCCAGAATCTAAGATTATCCGAGTTTAACTTCTATGCTATTGAATGTTCAGTTCACACCGTTTCAGTTTTGTAATGCAGGAAAATATTGTTTCTAAAATTGTTTCATGACTGCTTACCTTTAAAGAGTAGGACTAATACAAACCAAGAGTAAAATAGTGAACTATAACTTTCTTTGTAAAACAAAGAAAAATGCATATAGCTATTGTAACAAAGAAGTGAAAAGTTGATGGTAAAAAAAAAAATCGAGAAACTGAAGATGGAACAATGGATACCAAGTGTAACTATCACTGAGTTCGATTTGTAAAGAGGGAAAAGAGTCGTAACAACCCAAAACTTCGATCGCTCTTCATCTTCCCCATAATGTTACAAATGTAGACCTAAATAAGCCAAGCAAACTGACACGTTTCTAGCAAAAAATTGGAGAGATTTACACCATAGTGGCGGTTCAGCAAACTATCACATGTCAGCTTTCGACGCTCACTACCCTCTTACAGAGCAGCGAGAATAGGGATTGGAAAATGGTTGAAATGGAGTCTCGGACTTCGTGACCTTCTTGATCTTAATCTCACCCTTAGGATGTGTTTGACGTGGCTATGTATCAGTACAACTTTCCGTAGGCATCGCCATGAAATGCGTTACTCACAAGTCTCGTCATCTTGTTCCACATTGGAGAGGAAGGAATGAGGTTGAAAGGAATCTGGACCTCAATCTATCTGTTCGGTTGCTTTGTTACACCGTCATAGGCTAATTACTTTATTAGGTGTTATGCTTGGTTACAAAACTGCGTACACATTTTGAAAATATGATATTTTATTATTAAATTATTGTTATATTATCATATGATTACATTATTATTTGAAAATATTATATCTCACTGCGTACATATTTTAAAACTAACCATTGACTTCGTTTTCTCGCACCGTTTAGAATGATCCAAGATAACGGCACCTGCCCTTAGATATTGAGGTCAGATAGCATTTTCGGTAGCCAAAGTGCGAAAATAACCCGTCCACAGGCATTATATAGGCACCGATCGAGGGACTAATCTAGGACATTTCTTTCTAAACGTTACCTCAAAAAAGGATAGGACTCGCCAGAGTATGAAACATTCGACTACCTATTCTTTGTTCGAGGGCACTAGTAGCCCGGCTCAGTATACTGAATTGAATTCATGGGACACTGGAGGAGCAATTGGCCAATAAAATATATCGTTTTATTTTCTTTAAAAACAACGCCGGCTTGCGTATATCTGCAACACATTTGACAAGAATATTAGCATCTAAATTGTTTCATTATTTTTCCTCAACAAAATAATTTAAGACCAAATCGACTCATATTTTTTTTTCAGTGGTTTATCTCAAGTACAACGCGAGCAGCTAAACCGTTTTGTTTGAGAGAATTTCGTTGTCATTCTTCAAAGCGTAGTTATCCTGTTGACATTTCTCATTACAAGTCACTCCATTCCGACTCCATCCACAAATTTTGTATTGGACACACGTAAGACTCTAGGATCACATCTAACCGTTCAAAAAGCAGTCGATTTGAGTAGGCTGCTTAGGAACTTGCACATGCACTAAACCGTGATTCTACCCCTACACAGATTCATGCACGCGTCTCTAAAAACATCTGTTGGTTAACTCTCTCCAAGAAAACTTAGTTACTGTCGTAAGGAAGAGGAACTTTGTAAGATGGATACAGCTGGAAAACTCTTCATGGTGGAGTCTCACTTATTATAGTTGCAGGAGCGTAGCACTCACTATAGCTACTGCAACCAGCTATGTAACGATATTATGAGTCACTCTAAACATTACAAAGTATTGCCTTCAAATAGAACATTGCCTCGAGATAAAAAGTCCGAGAGAAAAAGAACGTCGAAAATGTAAAATTAGGTTAGGCATAACCATTTACTAAGTTTATTTAGAGCCATTGCTTAGCATATAAACGCGTTCCTTTGTCACCCATGGCGGCGTGGATGCTGCCTTACAGTGATTTGCTTATGATCTCTCTTTTCCGCGTTAGCCACCAGTGACTAACAGTATTAAAGAGGCATGTTAAGACTGACACGTACTTCACCTCTGTTATAGAAGGTTTTTGTCGATTGTGGGACTATCGTCCCTCCTTGAACTAAGTCCAATTGAGGGTTGAGTATAGGTGCGGACTGCCTGACCATTTCTTGAAGTGGCTGTGAAGCAAAAGATGGAAATAAATAGATCTCCGTTGTTATCCGAAATTTGACTTATTTACAATTCTAAATAGAAAAAAATATGCAAATATTCGCTCATATTTCCACAGCGCTGATATAATGTAGAGAAGTTAAATTCAGTACATAAACAAACTGGTTGATTGAGAATAATTACCGATAGATTTGAACCGATTCCGATTAAAAAGAAGGAAAACTGTGTTTTAATGGAGATGTCGTTGTGACTTACAACGGAACTATTACATTTAAAATATGGCGTCGTCAGAATAATGTTATGATGGTGGATCAAATGAAACATTTCATGTAAGATAGGATAAAATTTCTAAGCAGCAACGACAAAGAAAAATTAACTTTTGATGATTATACCTTTACGAGGACAGTGGCAGGCTTTGCAGATAATTCCACCGCCGTATTGACAATACAGGATCAAGTCAAACAAGAGAGTTAAAACGACAAACTCTCCAACCATACACAACACTAAGCGCCTCCAATGCGTTGTCTCCACTGAAAAAGGAAAAGATCAAAAATCTTTTGTGTGTAAGAAAGACAGTGGTAGGCAATGACGACGATTGTAGTTTTCAAATAAGATTTAAAGGAAACTGTCTCACAGGTTAACAGCTGAGAAGTTTCACGTAGAGGACGCTCGACAAGAAAGGTCAGGAAATCGTAGGACCCGCCATACGACTATCCCGTATGCATCAACTTGACGGCAACTCGATACAACAACTGAGTGCCCTTAATCATCTTTCAGTTTACCAACTTTGTTAATCCTTCAATCCCAGGTCAAATCCCCGATTGTTCTGGAAAAGTGATCAGCGAAACAGGTTCACCTGTTCGGTTAACATGAGAATTTAAGAACCGCCTCCTGGTTAGTTCAATTGGTTAGAGCGCCGGATTGGGTTGTGCGGGAGGTCGAGGGTTCGAGTCCCGGCCGGACCAATACTCATCGTCTTAAAATAACTGAGGAGAATTTGCTACCTTTCTATAACATCAATGAAATGGATAGATATTATAGTCTTCTCGGATAGGGACGAATAAATGGAGGTCCCGTCTCCTGCAGGGTTAGGGGTAGGAGACGTTAATTTCCCACGCACGAGATTACTGTGTGATGGATGTCCTCCCCTAGGGCAGGATGTGTGGGGGGAAAAGGTGAGGTCGTTACATGGACTAAAGCGGCTGCCAGAAGCGCCTGATAATACTGACGTCCGATCTCAACCTTAGTAAGCGCCGGTTGTGCGGGAGGTCGAGGGTTCGAGCCCCGGCCGGACCGATATTCCTGGTCTTAAAATAAGTGAGGAGAATTTGCTACCTTTCTATAGATATTCTAGTCTTCTGGGATAAGGACGAATAAACCGTAGGCCCCGTCTCCTGCAGGGTTAGGGGTAGGAGACGTTGATTTCCCACGCACGAGATTACTGTGTAGTGGATGTCCTCCCCTGAGGTGGGATGGGTGGGAATTGGCCCTGAAAAGCCCCTATGGGGAGTGGTCAAGTAACGTATGTATGTATGTGTAACACTGTAGACCTTAGCAATTCAGCCTATGCTGCTATTGAGGTATCGAATCATTGACTTTCACTTTCACTTTCTAAATCAATAAACGTAAACCCTTGGCTCGCAGTTTACCAGTAATGGTAACATATCTCCCTTTGATACAAGTTGCAGACGGTTTCTCATGATACCTCACCCAAACCATCAGCAGCTTAACTATCACTCAAAAGACCCTTAGTCAATACGCAAAATTTAAAACAAAACAAAAATAAATAACAACAAAATAATGAAACAAACACAGATAGGAGTCATGCCTCGTTGGTCCTTTCTAACTCTGCCTGGGCAGATGGTACATCTTTCGTATTAAAAATTTAGACAACCGCGTATCATCTTTTCTAGTTTAACAATACGTACCACTTCTTTTGCCAGGATCACCAGGATCTATAGTTTTCACTATTGTTTTAGGTTCCTCGCACTCACAAGTCGAGGCGTTGAGGAATTTCTTCTCCAATTGGCAAAATTTCACAACAGACTGAGTGCAAACGCAACCGCACGCTGTGTAACTCCATTCCTAAAGAACAATGAACAGGAAGTTTATTTTAGTTTGGGGGAAAAAAGGCGAGTGTTCTGACGTGAAACCGAACGTTTTCTCTCAAAATAAGAGACCCACGGCTCAACAGAGGCAACAAACATTCTTTTATGATCAGAGTGATATTTTGCTATAAACTCTGCGACTCTGATGGAAAGCACCCGTCTGCGGATTTTAACTTTCTAGTGACGACTGTACTGCGAAGTGGAACCTAGCTGACTGAGACCAGGATGGATAATGCACTGATGTGTAACCAAAACGAAGGGGTAGAAAGGCACCCGTAGAAATGATTAGATAGTAGCATGGAAACTAGAAGGGGTCGGGTACCTTTCCGCAAGCTCTCGTTGTTTACACATGACTACATTAGGCTCTTGTCTCTTTTTTAGCTATCAAAAACAACAACAATAACAACAAAAAATCGTCAACGTCATAAATTACACTTACCATGTTGACAGGACAAAATTCTACTGGTCTTGCACAAACACACTTGCACTGGAACTGATTCCAACTACAAAAATAATTACTCTAAATTTTTACTGATTCCTATGTCCATAGCAACAATTGGAGAAGCAAAGATTTTCTTTCGGCACACATATGAATCTCTTGAATGTTAAACGTTTTATGAAGCTGACCGGAATTTATCATAGAAGTCCTGAGAATGTTTACGCCCGATATAAGGGGGCGGGGGAGGGGGGGGGTTTCAGAAATAAAAATTTCCAACAATCGGAAAAAATGAGGAAACTTAGTTGGATGATAACACCCTAGCCTTCGACTACTATCATCACACAATAATATCACCGCCTTTAACAGAATTTGAACTCGCATGAGGTAAGTCGTTCCAGAAACCGAAACTCTTGAGAGAGCTTTATGAATCGCTACGAAACAAGAATGAAAAAATTCATATTCGAAGACAGTTCAACCAAAATATTTTGGAGAATATTTAACAATTATCCGCCGAAGGCGAGGTGAATATCGTCGAATAATCCCCGAGAC